CCGCCACCACCGCCACCACCACTATTACTGCTGCTACAGCTACTATTACTATTACTATTATTATTATTACTATTACTATTTCAATTTCTACGACGACGACGACGACGACGACGACGACGACGACGACGACGACGACGACGACGACGACGACGACGACTACTACCGTAGGCGGATATCCCGCCGTGACACCAAGACATGGATGTCCTGCTGTTGCACTGGTGCGCCGAGCGACGCATTGATTTGCCGCTGCCACGCCAGCGAACTGGATTGCATTCGGCCGTGACACAGATAGAACAGTATGCCGCAGTAATGGGCGTTAGCAGCGTTACTCCACAGCCGGGATAGCCGGCATAAACATCACAACCGGCGGAGCTGCCGTACAGTGCGCGGCTTCAGATGCTGTGGAAGTAGCAGAAGCACGCAAGCAGCGTAAGTAGCTTAACGGTCGCAAGGAGCGTAAATGGTGCAAGTGGCATACGCGGCATAGCTGGCGTAAGCGGTGCATGAAGCGCAAACAACATCGGCGGCGTTCGTGGTGGTGTAGGTGGCATAAGCTGCGTAGCCGAATGCTTGAAGCCTCACCAGAGCTAATGTCTAAATCTGGTTGGGCGCACCGCGGATATCTACAAGCCCTCCCAACGCATCAGCGAAGTCTCCTGACATCTGGCTCCCTCCAATCGAGGCCTCTCAGGGCTGCCTTTCCTAAAAGGGCACCATTCTTGGTTTTCTTAAATCAGGATCCTAGTACGCATTGGGAGGATCATGGAGGATCTCAATTAATGCAATAATCCGAATGCAATCCCTAGCATCGGAGGCAAGGTTCCCGGAGAGTAAAGAACTCAATCCATGAAAGGTTCCCCAACTCCTAACTAGCAGCCTAAAACCCTACGTGCCCGAACCCCCTTGAACCCTTAATCCCCATACACCCCAAACCCCTTACCCTACATGCCCTCGAAGCTCTGAATTGTCAGGACATTCAATGTACTTGCCGGTCTGCCACGCCTTCTACCTTTTGCGCGGTTGCAGGAGCTTAAGGAGACAGCCGCCAAACTTTGCGCGCCAGGCAGGGACTCAACTCTGGGTTCAGGATTCGGGGTTTCAAACCTAAACCCAAGCCCGAATCCCCAAAACCTGAAAGACTAAACCCGATGCCCAAACCCTTATCCCTAAAACCTAAACTCTAATCCCGAAACCCTTATCCCTAAAACCTTAACCCGAATCCCTAAGCCCTTATCCCTAAAACCAAAACCCTAATCCCTAAACCTTGAAACCTAAACCCTAATCCTTAAACCGTTATCCCTAAGACCTAAACCCTAAGGGTGCCAGCAGTCACTTCGGACAGTCCAGGATGATTAGCCATGACACATTGCCAAATTGGGGGGTTCAGGGTGTACGTAAGGGTTCAGGGTTTGGGTTTAGGGTTTAGGGTTTGGGTTTAGGGTTTAGGGTTTGGCGTTCAGGGTTTAGGGTTTGCATCAGGGGTCACGGGAGTCAGGGTTTTGGGCGGTTGAGTGATTTTGGTTTAGCAGGGTTTCTGGTGATTCTCAAGATTTGTAGGAAAATGGAAACTTGGCCTGTCGTTCTAATCATAGTAGGAAGAACTGCAGCAATTGGACAAGTTACAACAAATCCAGAAAATGTATGGAATTGTCCTGCGGCAAGGACATTTCCACAAACTTTATGGCATTTATTCAAAATTCTAGCGCGCAAATATTGTTATCTTGCACCTACCGTCTCATGGTGGTGTACACTGCAACCCCCCTGCCAAATACAAGCAGTTATCAGATTGAGGCTGGGGTTCAGGGTGTTAGGGTGTTAGGGTTTAGGGTTTAGGGCCAGGTAAGGGTTTAGGGGTAAGGTGGAAGGTGGATGCGACATTGGTGTGATCAGCATTGAGCCAGCAACAACCGGGGGTTGATGCGGATGTGACGGGTTTCATTTTCAGCCAGCCGACAGCTTAAAACGCGTACGCGTAGGTGGCTCAACCTCTTCATCCTAAACCCTAAACCCTCAAACGCAGACCCCAAACCTAAACCCTAAACCCTAAAATCCAAACCCCAAACCCCAAACCCTAAAAACCCAGTCCCTAAACCCTAGACCCTAAAGGAAGGTTTCATATCCGAGGATGCCAAAGGTTTGAGCGGCCTCGAAGGCTGTCGGTTTGCAATGTCTTGCTGACCTTAAGCAGGAATTTTTGATGTGACGCATAACCTAAACTCCTTAAAGGGGGTTACCCATTGGGATGATGGAAAAGAAAATGGAAGCTACTATGGTACATTGGGGTTATACAGGGTTCAGGGTTTAGGGTCTAAACTCCTCAAAGGGGGTTATAGCGTGGGTTATTTCGGGGACTACAATAGTGGTTATGACGGGTGATGTTAGGAGTTTAGACTACATAGCCCGCGCGGCCGCCAATTAGGGTTTGTGGCTTAGGGTTGTGATAGGTCTCTTTTGGACCTGACGTCTCGGCCGGAAGCAAGGGGTAGGACACTCCCATGATTTTCCCTTTTCTACCCACAGAACATAAAAGTTCCCCACACTCTAAACCCTAACCCTAAAACCCTATATCGCCCACATACCTCTATATAACCCCATACAGCGATCCGCGATTTTCAGAGGCAACTTTAAACTGCGCTAGCTAAATTTTGGGCCCTGCACCCGAAGCTGATGAAGCCCAGCCCCAGGGTTTAGGGTTTACTGTTGGGAGTTTAAGCCGATATTCAAAATTCCTGCGTCACCTTTGTATACTATAGTGCCATCCACGTTACCGGGTGCTCGGTGTCCTGCTGTTTTTACAACAACTCTTTCCGTTTCATTTGACATTGTTTGATTTGGTGCTTCATCTTTCGTGTAATATGCCTAAGCCTAAAGCCCGATATCCCCCATATACCTCTATATAGCCCCGTGCCATACAACCCTAAACCCTATAACCTATATATTATTGGCAACCCTAAGCCCTAAACCTTCAACCCTCATAGTGTATCAGCCGCCCTAAACCCTAAACCCTAAACCCTAGTATCAGCCGACTAGGCAAGGGTTTCCTGGCTGCGGATGAGAGCGCTGGACCTTGGCTACGTGCGGGTCATGCTGAGGCAGCGAAGATCCCTGTGTCTCGGCTTTTAAGGTTTAGGGTTTGGGGTTTAGGGTTTAGGGTCTAGGGTTTAGGGTTTAGGTTTTAGGGTTTAGGGTTTAGGGTTTTTGTAGGGATTATAGGGTGAAGGGTTGAGGGTTATTTGGGGGTTCCCAACATTCAGGGTGCCTTTTTACTCCTGACAACAAGGACCGTAATATTTTGGGTTCCCTTATTGGGGTCCGCTTTTTTTGGGAAATTACCATATAGATTGTAGGGTTCAGGGATAATGGAGAATCAAGTGGAAAAGTCAAACAAAATGGAAACTGGTCCAATAAAGTGGTCTGGGGAAGTGGGTTGATCTAAAGGTGCTTTGGGGAAGTTAGTCAGCCAACCATTAGGTCTATAAAGGGAGGAAATCTTTGGGAAGTTCTTTTCCATAATGGCGGTTTTGGCAACAGGAATTTGATCAACTACCATGTGTTTGAAACGCTTACGTAGAACATGCACCGTGCGTTCACCACTAGGCAGGATTGACTACAGCTTTAGCTCTTCAGTATATCTCTTGTGGTTCCTCTATTCCTTGCCAGAAGTTAAAATGTTCAAGGAGGGATTAACGAGCAACTAAGATCATACGTAGTATACATGCTATTGGCAGCCTACTGCGATTTGGATGAGGGATGCCTGCCATTGGCTTCAGATCTGCCAGAAACCGTAAAGCTTCAACCCTAACCCAAAACCCTAAACGCGTTCGGGGAGAAGTATCCTCCAGTTTCTCATAATTTTTCTGGTGACCGCTAGCCAAGTTGGCGCCTAAATCCTAAACCCAAGAGCCTATTCCGTTTCTGTACACATGCTAAGCACTCTACACCCGAAACCCTACAATCTATTCCCGTTCTCTGCCTTAAAGCTGAGGATGTGATTGAGAATAGAGCTGCTTACCGCGCGATGTGCTTCTCAACGCCGGGCCTTAGCGAGCACATCAGCGGGGTCATCTTGCACTGGGAGACTTTGTTACAGGACTTAGGGTTTAGGGTTTGAGGAACCTAGAAAGTAGGTCAACATTTCTGGATGATTAGATGGCTTAATCAAGGGTTCCAGGTATGCTAACTAGTCGTCCTGACCCTCCAGGGGATTTAGAGGTTATTCGAAGGGACTATCCCCAGGGACTGCTATGGGATTCCATTCCGCCAATTAGGGTTCAGGGTTTAGAGTTTAGGGTGCAGGGCCTTAATCAGAATCCTCACTATCCTATTCCTCCGTTTCCGAGTAAGTTTAAACACTGGACCCTACACTCTAAGTCTGTTGCAGGAGGATGCAAAAGGCAAGCCCATGGTGGATATTATCACTGAGAATGGCATGATTCCCGGCATCAAAGTGGACAAAGGCTACAACAAGAAGGGCATTTGGGGCACCAAGGCCGGGTTAGGGTTTATGGTTTAGGGTTGAGGGTTTAAGGGTTGAGGTTTAGGGTTCAGGGTTTAGGGTTTAGGGTTGAGGTTGAGGTTTAGGGTTTAGGGTTTAGGGTTTAGGGTTTAAAAATACTTGGATGCCCATGGGACTTAGTAACTACTTATAGCTGGGCTTATAACCCTACTTAGAATTGGGGTAACCCCTATAAGCCAATTTCGGGGCATGATAAGTAGGGTTATAAGCCCAGCTATAAGTAGTTACTAAGTCCCATGGGACTCCAAGTAGCTTACCATAATCAGCACATATGGGTACCGATCGGATTTCTTTTCAACAATGACTTAGTTGACGCTTCTAATCAGCGTATAGAACGCCTATTGGACCCCAGTTAGCATTTATATGTTTCATTTATTTTCCATTTGGTTCTTAATTATGGTAATTTTATAGAAGGTCGTTTGCAGTCTATACAACCTCATACTACCTCAGTTTCTTGTTATTTGATCTTCCAATTGATTCCAAATTCAATCCTAAGTCCTAAGCCCTAAGCCCCGGCCCTACATTATGTAATTCTTGGATGCTTTCTTTTCCGATTGATTCTCCGTTGTTGGCAGAATATTTCCTTGTGATTCTTATATGCCTCTTGAAAGGGCTAGGGTTTCCATGTAGTCCCTAAACCCTAAACGCTAAACCCCAAACCCTAAAACCATAACCCCTAAACCCTAGTCCATGTCCTTAGCTGGAGCCCAGAAGGTTGGCCCACTCGGGCATCCGGAGGTTGCCACCGTGGGTTTAGATGACCTGCAGCAGAAGTGTGCGCACGCCTACAAGGACAGGACATTTTTTTTAAAGAATGGTTTGGATGAGTGGGAATTTGGTGAGTGTACGTATTGGGTGTCCAATTGGGGGGACAACAGATTAAAAGCAAAAACACAGGGTCTTGACATGGGTGTTGTCAATGTTTTAGTAAGTAAGTTAGCATCCTGTCGTTATGAAGAGTATTGAACATCAGCGCGCACTATGCAGTGGACCCATAGAAACGCAAAAAGGGGCCAATGTCTTTTCAGAATGGAAGTCTAAGGCCTTGAAACCCTAAGCCTTGGACATGTTGAACGCAGGAATGGATCCCTATAGTAGCTCCCATCCATCCCCAATAATATCCCTAAACCCTAAACCCTATAGTCCCCCTTAAGTTGATAGAATATGGCTTTGGGTATATTAAAATAAGATCCCCTCTTACCCCATATTCTATCTACTTAAGGGGGACTATTATCCCAAAATACCCCCAATACAACCCCTATAGTAGTTTCCATTTTATTTTCCATTATCCCAAAATTACCCCCATGCGTATGTAACCCTAAGCCCATCAGGGACTCTAAACCTAAACCATGGTGTCCATGGTCTTACCATTCCCAGACTCCCTCCTGACAGCCGGAAGGCATGTCTAAGCTATGCCCTTAGCTCATGGGTTTCCCTTACTAAACCCCTTTAGGGTAGAGTGTGTTGAGTTAAGGGTTTAGGGTTTTGGGCTTAGGGTTTAGGGTTTAGGGTTTACAAACCCCCTTGGTTCCCCCTTAATTAGGTTAATTAAGCTTAGTTATCGCTTAATGGGTAGTCTACACCTTTAACCCTAAAACCTAAACCTTGAAACCTAAACGTATAGAGGGGGGTAGTAGGGGAATCCATGACTAGCCTCAAGCCTACACCCTGCTGTAGATTACGGAAATCTTGTTCCTCTGTTTGCTTTACACCCAAGGACTTAGAGTATATCCACTGAAGCTCATCAACCCTAAGCCCGCAGCCCCAAACCTCAAACACTAAACCCTAAACCCGAAATCCTGAACCCTAAACCCTAAATCCTCCTTTCATCCCAGGAGGGAGCTCGCTTCGCTAAGTGGCGAAATGTGCTACAGTTGGACCCTGCCAAGGGCTTCTTCATTGGGTTTAGGGTTTAGGATTTAGGGTCTACGGATAATGTTAGGGTTATGTCCTCATCCGACCATATACGTATATATGGAGTGTATGGATCAGCATTCACGGTTTGTGGTCTCGTGGTTATGTGGTCTGGGTCTTGTGGACTACATTTGGTTTTTGGAGGGTTTCGAGAGGTCAGGGTGTTTATAGAGTTTTTCACGCAAAGTTTATAGAAGTTTACAGAGGGTTCATGAAGTTTATGTCTGGTTTATAAACAGAGTTACTGGACCTCTAAACCCCAAACCCAAAACCCTATATAAAGGTTTCATAAACCCTTATAACGGTTTCATAAAGTTTTAATTGCTGGGCTTTCAGAGGGAGCTCTGCTCCTGTTGTCCTGTGGCCTGTGGTCTGGGGCCTGGAGTGAGGTAGTATCGATTTATCGTTTAGGGTTTAGGGCTTAATTTTTAGGAGTATGGTTCAAAAGAGGGTTTTGACAAGTTGTTCGGAGAGTTCATGGTTCGTGGGTATTACAGTGTTGGCTGTATCCTCAGATGGGGACTTTACCTTCGGGGGGGTTGTTAGGAACGCAGACTGCGGACGCACACAAATTGATTTCCCGCTTTCGTTTTCATTTGACCTTCCCTTATTGGGGGAATAGCCCCGAACCCTAAAATCCTCTACACCCTAAAGACCTCAACCCCTAAAAACTTCTAGGGGTTCAGGATTAAGGGGTTGAGGTTTGATTTACGGGGTTTACCCCCTTAGGTTTTAGGGGTCAAGGTTAGAGTTTAGGGATTTAGAGTGTAGGGTTTAGGATCTAAGGTTTAGGGATTCAGGGTTTAGGGCTTAGGCTTAGGGTTTAGGAATATTATCCCAATAATGGAGAGCAAAATGGAAAAGAGCACGGAAAATGAAATGGAAACTAGCGACTCTAGATATCTTCAAAGATTTCCTAAGGATTATTTGAGAACATCCCATGTCGGTACTTCTTAAAGTTAAGGTATTCGTAATGCTTTCGGTGCCCACTCACAAGCGTCCCAACAATCCTGAGAAGGCCCTTGAAACCCCATGCGGATATCACTTAGAGGCCCATGGGACTTAGTAACTACTTATAACTGGACTGATAACCCTACTTATAATTTCCCTAAAGGGGCTGATAGGAGTTACTGCAGTTATAAGTACGGTTATGATCCCAGTTGTAAGTGTTTACTAAGTCCCATGGGCCTCCCAGCATGCGGATATCAAGGTTTACCGAGTGACCTGGCCATCAAGGACACAGTGCACACCCTGGCACGCTATGCTTCCATTTGCCAAAGCGAAGGCCTCGTACCCATAGTGGAACCAGAGCCTTACCATGGACTCGGTTAAGGTTTTTCCTAAACCCATGTATCAATATGTATATCAAGGGGCTTCCCAAAATTAGGGAACGGTATCCCTTAAATTAGGACTACGGTATTCAGGGGTCCATGTTGGTGTGCCCCCAATTGTGGAAACTCCCATATCTACGTTTATGTATAAATCTCATTCCAACACATCATTCTAACCTCTCAGCAGATTGTTCTAGGTAAGCTTCATCTGTCTGAGATCTCCTTATAGTTAGTTTGGAATCAGGGTTTGCGGAAGAGTAGGAATCCATCAGCGTTTACCATACCTGTCTGCATACTTGGACGTTCAGGGTAACACAAGCCTTTTATCCTAGTAGCTGGGTTGTGATCACGGGGCCCATATTTAGTTATGCACACATGTATGAATAGGTCATAGGTTGCACGAACCTCCAAGCACCCTGTGCGCCCGTGGTCCTTCAAAGTTCGAGGAAATTGTTCCGAATGGAGATCACGACATCAACTATTGCCAAAAGATCACCGAGAAAGTCCCTGGGTTACTTTTAGGGTTTGTGGTGTACTGTTAAGGAACTTAAGCTAGTTTGCCGTAATATGGGAGTTTCTCAATTAGGGACCCCTAGTGGACGGGTCCTTAGAAGGTTGTCTTTGGGAATATGTTGGGAAATTCCCATATGGACATGCGGTGCATGCTTGGGTTTACAGTAAGTACTCGGCTTTCCTTATAAACCCTAAACCCTAAACCCTTGATTCTTAAACAACAGCTGAGGTATTGAAGGCGCAGTTCAAGGCCTTGGCCGATCACCACGTATTTATGGAGGGTGCTGTCCTGAAGCCCAACATGGTGAAGAACGGCTTGGGAGGACCCAAAGCCAGTGCAGAGACCATTGCAACGCTGACTTGCCAAACCCTGCTGCGCACAGTTCCTCCCTCGATGCCGGGCATTTTCTTCTTGTCGGGCGAGACAGCGCTGAATGAAGATAATGAGGAAGAGGCCACCGTAAACCTGAGCACCATGAATAGCCTCTTTGCCGGAAAGCTGCCGTGGCATTTGTCTTTCTCCTACGGCAAAGCCTTGCAGAAAACCTGTATCGTCACTTGGCTGGGAAAGGCCGAGAACGATGCAGCTGCGCAGAAGGCCTTGAAGGCGCGAGCCAAAGCAAACTCCGAAGCGGTCTTCGGGAAGTACAAGAAGGGCAGCTGTGCCAGTGTTGGCACGGATGGCAACGTGATGCAGGCGGCAGGACCCTACTGAGTCCAGTCTCAGGTTTCTCTGCAAGCGAATTTGTTTCGTCGCTAGGCGATTGTAAGTTTGGTCTCCAGATCGCATTCTTTTTCTGCTGGTTCTCGCCAGGGAATTAGGAAGTCTGAGTATGGAGGATGATGGGACATGTTGCTAGCCTTTCTTTCCTAATTCCCTCCTAGCAAGCAGCAAGTTCGGGACATGCCTGATAATGTTACGGCGTGCCTTGAGCACCGAGGGGTTGATGCGTCCTGCTTCATCAGGGCTGAAAGCACCACAGGTGGTTGTTGGAGCATTCTGCGGCCCTGTCAGACGCTGCGTTTGAAATCATGTGAAAATTGGAAAAGGTACCTTCAGTTTTGCCAGGTTTTCTTCCGAAGTGATCCTCCCTGGCATATCAACAATTACTGCTACTGACTTGTGTTATTACTTTACTGTCTTTGTTGTAAACGCACCATTCTGGGTGGTGGGATAGGGGTGCAACTTTTCGGCCGTCTGGGATTAGCTGCAAAAAGTAATGTGCTTCGAATTTCCAAGTCATGACCTTCTAATTGCTGGTGTTTATCCAGGAGGAGAGGATGGATTACAACAAATTGTCTAGGGCCACATATGGGGTTCAGGGTTCAGCGTTTGTTTACATGGGGATAGCTACACGGATCAATTCCCCTCTACCTTGCAAGCAGCAGTAATCATACAACCCCCATATAACCCCTATATAATCCCAGTTTCCATTTCATTTTCTATTTGATTCTTCATGATCCAGCTATGTGTACCCCCCCTTAAGTAGATAGAATATGGCTTTGGGCATATTATAATAAGGGCCCCATATACCCCATATTCTATCCACTTAAGGGGGACTATTATCCCAATATACCCCCAATATAACCCCTATAGTAGTTTCCATTGTATTTTCCATTATCCCAAAATTACCCCAAGGGGTATGTAACCCTAATCCCAGCTGTTTACCTCGCAAGCTTTAGGTTCAAGCCCCGAGGCCGCTCCATGCAGCCAGCCATGCAGGTAGTTTCCGTAGATTTTTGCACCGCAAACCCCAAGCCCTAAATCCTAAAACCTAAGACTCAAATCCTAAACCCTAAATCCTAAACCCTAAATCCTAAATCCTAAACCCTAAATCCTAAAATCCTAAACGCTAAACCCTTTTATACAGCCGCTCTGTGTGTTCCATCTGTTCCGATTAGAATGCAGGTTCCTAGACCGGTTAGGAACAGGTATTGGGTTTCAGGCAATTTGTATTGTGTGTAGATTTTTTAAAGGTCTTCCTGGCTTTGCAGGAGGGAACGGAGGAATGGATTCCTGTACGAGCTCGTTTATATTACCAAGCAACAGCGCGATTTCAATTCTTTTTTTCATTCTCTAAGGCCTGTGCCCTAAATCGAGGTTTCTATTCTTATGTTTCCGCTATTCCCTTCTATCTAATAACCAGCAAGTTGTTGATGAATTTCGGGTTTATTTCGCGGCTGGCACACAATGCCACTGGGAAAAGATCAGGCCATGTGGAACTAGTGGAGGGTGGTCAAAACTATGCGCCCTTCTTTGAATGTATCAAATTTTAGGAGCCGTAATCGAACGCAGACCCTGAGCCCTAAACCCTAAATTTGTCAACCTGCTCAGTCCCAAAACTCACCAACGGTTGTATTTGTTGGGTCATTGCTGCAATGTCCGAATGGCGCACTTGGAGGAGGTGCGTGCTTTTGATATAGTAACAGTAGTAGAAATAGTCATGGTAATAGTACTAGTAACAGGACTAGTACTAGTAATAGCATCAGTCATAGTACTAGTAGCAGAAACAGAAATAGTACAAGTAATAGCAATACTAAATACATTAACTATAGTACTAATACTAGTAATATTCATAGACCGAGGGCGGACAGACACTAGCGCCAGGTGGTTGCTGATGAGGAGAGGAGGAGACAAGCCCGATGGAATCTCAAGAAGGTTCGAGCTGGGTTTTAGGGTGGTTGAGGGTTGAGGGTTCAGGGTTTAGGGTGGTTTAGGGTTTAGGGTTTAGGCTTTCATAGCAGGGAGGGAGGCGCATGCTCATACTCACTTTGTGAAAGGCTATGCATGACAGAAGAATTGCAGACATCGAGCGAGCACTCATTGCGGGTGAGGACTGCTCAGTGGCTTCTGTTGGTGCAGTGTGATTGTGAACGGAGGTTCGGGGCAACTGTAACCCCAATATGATGATACCTTTAACTTAGCTATATGAGCTGTAGTCTAAACTCCGAGTATCCCCTTTAATAACCCCCATAGTAGTCCCCTATTTAATTCCCTATATAACCTCCTTTAAGGAGTTTAGACTATAGCTATATGTCCCCGACGTCTCATAAATAAGCCCCAAATCCTGAACCCTGAGCACTCAACTACATCCTGACAGTGGATACTAAAAATCCTGCATGACCCTAAGTACCCCCAACCTTGGGAATTATGAATTATGGTACTATAGTATATTGGGATTATCTCGGGAATACTGGAAGAATGGAAACCATTATGGTATAATTGGGTATATATTGGGGTTATATAGGGATAATGGAAAAAAAGGAAGCTGCTCTAGTCTACAGACGTCATGCAGGGTTTTAGTATCAACAATTTGACTGGCAGGAATGCAGCTTGTATCCAATGGAGTTGGAGCATGCGCGTCACACATTGGTCGAGGCGAAGAAGGCCGCAACACGTTTTAGGGTTCAGTACATAATCTTCAAACCTACATGGGGTTCGCGTGAATTAGGAGACACTTCTGAGGGGTACCTATAAGATCTGGTATTTCGGGGTCTATGTTGGGGTCCCTATTTATGGAAAGCACCATGTCATTCCGAATATCACGTTCCTTGAGCTATGGTAAAGGATACTTGAAAAAGACATCAAATTGATATTGGACATTTTTGAGCGCCCTTGCAGCAACTTTTTTTGCGTACGAGGGCTTGTCAAGATCATGGCTTGTTATTGGATGCCTTTTATTTTCGGTGCCATACTACACTGGGGCCCTCTAGACCCTCCATGTATCCCAGCTCCTTAAGCCCTAAACCCCAAATACTTAAGCCAAATCCTTAACCCTAAACCCTAAACCCTTTTGAAACCCTACCATGTACCCCAGCTTGTGCATCATGCAGACGGATGCGAGCCAGAAGCTTGATCGCGCTTTGCAAGAGCCTGAGTTTTCTGGGTTTTAGGGTTTAGCGTTCAGGATTTAGGGTTTAGGGGTAGTGCTCAGGCGGACCCTCACCCAGTGGTAATGACGAGAAGGGATCTTCCTCTTAGGGTCCTCTTATACTCCTAGTA